CGGGGCCACGCCATTTGAGGGGAAAACAAAGAGTTTCCCCCTCAAATGGCGTGGCCCCGCCCCCTGCGTGCAACGTCACTTCCGGGTTATGTGCATGCGGCGCACACGCACTGCGCATGCGCGCCCAACACAGATGCCGGCCGGGAGCCCCCTGCTCCCGGCCAAAAGACATTTGGCAACCCTAGCCTTCCCACTCCTTTGCTTCCCCTTCTGACATAACTTTCGGTGATGTCAGGGGGCGTGGCATATGCTAATATCCTAGTAGCTCATTAGCATACTGTATGCTAATAAACTCCTGCAGCTCTTTTTCTACGAAATGACCCCTGTTCATAAGGGAATAGGATTGCCATCCCCTGCAATGATGATAGGTAAGAAGTAAAGGTTTCCCTTGCTCGAAAGCTGGTCGAATCCAACTCTAGGGGGCAGTGCTCATTCCTGTTTCCAAGCCAAAGAGCCAGTGCTGCGTGAAGACTTCTCAGTGGTCATGTGGCCGGCATGACTAGACTGTTACCTTCCCACCAAAGCAGTCCCTATTTATCTACTTGCAATTTCTTGCTTTCGAACTGCTAGGTTGGCAGGAGCTGGGACCGGAAACGGGAGCTCACTCTGTCACACGGCACTCAGGTCTCAAACTGCTGAACTACTGACCTTCCGGTCTGCAGCTCAGCGTCATAACCACTTGAGCCACCCACTTTTACTGCATTGTCCTCGACCTTTGCAATCCCACTTTCTGAATGGTTTATGGTGTACCTTGCTTTAGGCAGGTTGCTGTTTGCATTGTCTTCTATTTCCGTAATCTTCGTCCTGACGTACTGTTCTGTATTGTTCATTGGCTGTCTTGCGCCAGAGGAATCCATTGCTTTTATTCTGTAGCATGCCTTGAGTTTCAGTGAGAAAGGGGGGAGCTAGGGTGCTGGTTACATTCGGGGCCAGCCTAACCAGAGAGACTAAGCAAGAGCCCGTTTGGTGTCGTGGTTAAGTGTGCGGACTCTAATCTGGGGAACCGGGTTTGATTCCCCACTCCTCCACTCACACCTGCTGGATGACCTTGGGGGTGATTCAGCTAGCAAGCAGGCCTAGCACCACACCTCACCTCACTAGAGGTGATGTTGTGTATAAAAAGCAAATATATTTAGCTATAAGTACATGTGAATATTGTGTCTATTATTTCAACACAGTGTTTTTTGTGTTTAACTACCCGGAGATTGGCAGCCCTACCTTCGGCATTTTGGTGTAGTGGTTAGGAGCACGGACTCTAATCTGGGAGAACCGGGGTTGATTCCCCACCCCTCCACTTGCACCGGCTGGATGACCTTGTGCAAGCCGTAGTTCTGATAAGAGCTGTTCTTGAAAAAGAGCCATTTCTGGCAAGAGCTCTCTCAGCCCCACCCTCTTCACAGGGTGTCTGTTGTGGGGAGGGGAGGGGAGAGGAGCTTGTAAACCGCTCTGAGACTACTTTGGGTAGTGAAGGGCGTGGTATAAATCCAATTTCTCTCTCGCTCTCTCAATCTCTCAGGAGCCCCCTCTGCCCATCACCAGGGCCCCCCATACCTTTCCTTCCACCCCCAATCCGGCATGTACCCATTAATCCCTCTCTGGCCTGTGAAGAAGAAGAGATTGGATTGATACCCCATGGCCCT